GTAGTAGGCAATAAAGACAATCGAAACCACTGTGTTATACTGCTGAGACTACTGGTGTTACACTGAGTGTTCATTTCAATCAAAGCCATTGTAACCCCATCAATGACTTCAGTTGCCACCACTGTTGGTAAGCACAATTTTTAGTTGTTTTCCAGTTGGTGAAAACTTCAAGGAGTTGGCTTGGTCCAAATGTAGAATTTCAAATCTGTTTGTATTTCTGATTGACTTAGAATGGAAGGCATGAAGAAAGCGCCTGTGTGAATACTTGAGTGTGCCTCTGGCCTTCTCTGGTGAAGGAATTCCCTGCTGAATTCTGCCCTCACTTGCTTCTTGACTGGGTGAAACCGGTATGTGTATCATGTGCATTAGTTTTGATTTTGGAACTAGTTCATGTTCTGGAAGTGATCAGGGAATTGAAGGTGCCTGTTTATGAAACTACAGAGCCTGGGTACTTTCTTCTGGCAATGCATATAATCAAGACCAAATGATTATAAAATTTCTAAAACCTAACACTATTTCTCTCATATATTTTTTAATGCACAAGCATATCATTCAATATTTTAAACTTCTGTGAATCTGTTTTATTCTATTCCCCCAAAAGCTGCATTTTCCAAATGTAAGTATTTCATAAATTTGCAATTTTTTTTACATTCTATGGATTTCCTGGAGAAAAATCAAGAAAGTCATGATATGGGAGCTGGGGTAATGGCTCAGTGGGTAAAAGTCCTTGCTCTGACAGCATGAGGATATGAACTCAAATTCCTCAACACTCAGGTGAAAAAGAAGGAAAATCCTGGGCATGACTCTCTCTCTCTCTCTCTCTCTATATATATATATATATATATATATATGTATATATATATATATATATACATATATATATATATATCTCCTGCTGAAAACAGCCAGCTTTCAGTTTAATGAGACCCTGTCTCAAGACAATAAAACAGAAAGAGACAAAGAAAACCCCTGACATCTTACTCTGGTCTCCACACAAATATGTATGTGTGCCTGTGTGCACACACACAAACCACAATACAGGTGGAGAGGAAGGAGGAGGAGGAAGAAGAGAAGGAGGACAGAGATAGAGAGAGAGAAGAGAAATTGCAAAAATACAAAATGGGTTTTTCTAACAGTCTAGCATGAAGGCTGTCTGTTACACCTTGAACATCTAATTAGGAAGGACTGAGCAATAGATGTTCAGTAAGTTAAGAAGGTTCTCATGGTCTTTAGCAGGTGGTAATTGACAGATATGAAATCTTACTGTGTCTGAATTGCCCCACTGATTGGCATACCACACAGCCACTGTTTCAGTGCCCCTGTCCTCTGGACCTGCAGCCCTGGATAAGCTCCATGTTCCCAACATACCACATCCCTACCCTGTATCGTCATTGTATGGTCAAAGTCATCCCAGCCACACAATGTTTACAAATCATCACTCCACCATAGCTCTGGAACTCCTCAGTATTTACTGTTTGAGTGAATGGGATGATACCACTTTGTAGCTAGCTGTTAAAGTCTGTAAACTGGAAGCCATCCAAAAATCCACCCTCTCCTTACCCTGTGCATATAACAGTTACCTACCAAGATGTTCTTCATTTGTTTACATTCTTATGACCATATTGTCACAACCAAGATCAAGGTAACTCTCATCTTCCACTGAACTATATTATACATCCCCCATTGATCCAGTTCCCTCACTGAAGCTAGTGTAAAACATATGGGTTCTGTCCTTTTCCCACCACTGTAGAGGACATGCCCGCATGGTTTCTCAGTGTGCCTCCAGCTTTGCTGTCTGCCTCCTGCCCTGTGATTTGCCAGTGAGTCTGGGTGCCTCTGAGCTGTTTCAGGAAGTCATGTTTCCCTCCCTGCCTTCCCTCCACGGCTGTTTCATACTCAGCCCTCATATGAGGTTAACTTAGTAGTCCTCTACAAACAGCCAGGAACAGCCACCAAATGCGAATGAGCTTCACCTCACCAATTACATCAATGCCTGGCCTTGCTGTAAGCATTGCCTATAATTTTAAGTGTGGGAAGGTAGCAGCCTGTCTAGCCACAACACAGTGCATAGTGCATAGCAGAGCCAAACACACACTTTTTGACAGAATGAAGTGTCTTACTTATCTTTCTTCTAAGCCTCTAAACTGAAGTAACCAACATAAAAACAAGGTTGAGAGATCTAAAATCAGTATTTCATTTCAAATAATATTTTCCTTTATATTGTTTTTCTCATTTCTTATTATCATTATTATTCTCTGCGGTCATTTTTGTTTTATTGACTTGGGTAGGGTTGCCACACTGGATGCTTACTGGGATGCCTGCTTAATCTACAAGTCAATTCTTGCCTGTTTTGGAAAAATCTCACCCTTTGTCTCAGAGTCTATCCAAGTTCTTCCCAGAGGGCTAAGATGAGGTGCAGACTTTAAGTGGATTCAAGTGACATATATCATCCCTGCAGTTGGGAGGAGAAACAGCTCACCCCATGTATAGAGAAATCTGGTCTAGAGAGAAAGTGGACCAAGGAGAAGGGAGGAGAGGACAGGGTAGGAGGAGGATAATGGAGAGGAGGTGATAAGGAGAGAGGGAAGAAGAGGAGAGGGAATATATAAGAGTAAGGGGAGAAAGAGGAGTATGAGACATAAAGAGGGGATAGCAGAGAATAGAGGAGACAAGAAAGAGAAGGGAATGAGAGGAGACAGGAGGGAGTAGAGGTGAGATGACATGGGGTGGAAGTGGAGGAGAAGAGGAAGGAGGAGAGGATGGAGGGGAAGAGGGAAGGAAAAAGGACAGAGAAAGGGCTGGAGGAGAAGAAAGAGGAAGAGAGAAGAGGGGAGTTAGGAGAATGAGAGGAGAAAGAGATGCCAATGGGGGAGGGGAGGTAGATGAAAGAAAGCGAGAGGACAAATTGTAGAGAAGAGGAGAAAAGAGAACAGGACAGAGAGGAAATCAAGGCAGGAGAGAGAGGAGAAAGCACTGGTGTCTGAAAAGTAAAATATTTTTCAATGTGTCTTCCTCATTCAGCTCTTCCAGATTAGACTGTAGCCTGTGGTTCATTCATACCTTGCATTGGTAGCAACAACACAAGAACAATCTGGAAAAGAGATCTGCTGCTTAGCTTGATATCCATGTGAGGAGAAATGAAATGTGGAAGCTTGGGTAAAGGTTCTTCACAAGGAGGAAAAGCATACACCTTTGCTGCAGGTGTGGCAACGAAGACTCTGGGACATGCTTTGGAAAGTAGACTGCTGGGTTCAAAACTCAAATACCTTAATGCCTCTCAGAGTTGACAAATCAAAGTATCCAAGGCATACCACATCTTCAGCTTTTACAGACAGTCTCAGTAAGTACCTGGAATACATGCTAAATTCAGAACCCAATCCAAATCCCATTTCCCTACAGCTCATCCAGATGCAATGTGAAGCCCGGTCAGGGCTGCGTGCTGAGAGCTTGTGAAGAGAGACCTGGGGAAGGCTCTCAAGTTATTCTACCCTCCTGCCCTGTCCTGATCATTTGGAAGGAATATAATCTGATGGGAAAGTTGTGTTGTGTTAGCCTCATTTGGCCCTTATTCAGCCTTCACAGGAAGCAGTGAACTGGCTGTTTGACTGACACATCTTCTACTTCCTTGCCCTGTAGAAGGCACAGCCATTCTGCCCATCAAGTTCTCTATTATTACCATGGGGAAAGGATGTTTATGACAGACATAGTGAAAAGGCATAACTTTCTCAATAAACTGAAGTTGCAACACAAGAGTTGGATTTCATTAATCACTTTGAATTTGTTGGAATAGCAACAACACAAGAGATCTTGAGTTTTTAACCAGTCAAAACTAGAATACATTATATAGGAAACCCCTCACCACTATCAAACTATTAGCCATCATTGATTAGTATTGTATAGCTTAAGAAAATGAATTTATCTACACTTTTTTGGCATTGCCACCGGTAGTATTAACACACAGCATGATCCCAGTCCTCTCTCAGCCTACTGTAACAGCTCTACCAGTGCTTTGGAAGGTTTCTGGAATTTTGTAAGAATATGTTGTTATCTTGTTTTGCCTAATCTCAGAGGAGAAACAAAAGGCAAATAATTAAAATCAGGGGTGTGTATTTGCACAGTCAGCCTACTGAACTTCTTCCCCAAACCAAAGAACATCCTATAGATATAAAATTCCCAATTAGGGGAAAAGATGGTAGAAAGAGATAGGCTTTAATAAACAAAGCTGTTCATCATGTATTAATGATTTCTAATATTTATTAAGGCCATAATAAAAGAAACAAATGATCAATGAACCATGAAACCTAGAAGCCTAATGCTCTCCACTAAATTTTCTGATTGTCAAACTAATCCTTTAAGACAAACTCATATTTTTGTGGCATCTGCAAAATATGAATTATCTGTTTGTACTGTATGGGTTGCCATGCACCCTCATTGTGAAATTAGCAGCCAAGAAGAGATTATGTTTCCTATCACGAACCATTTCTTTCTTTCTTTCCCTAATTAAAAATTAAAATTGTCAATCTGTCTTTGAAAAGGCCAGGAATATGACTGGAAAGTACACTCTGAAAACATGCAACTTACAACAAAAAATTGAGGTTATCACTGATTAATGGTAACTCTGAGCTTCAAAGGGAATGATAGGTTAAAATGAATTGCTTTAGGCAGGTATCTGAAGCCAGCTGAATGTCAATAGAGGCCACATTACTTTGAGATTTCAATAAGAACATAGGTTGCGCAGTTGACAAGTTTTATGTCCAAGGCAGCTCTTAAAGCCATCTTGCCTTTCTAACATTGTCTCTTGACTATAAAGGGACTGTTGGTTTTGTCTTAAATGCCTGTGAAAGTCACTCTGGAATTATACCAAAAAATAAACCACCTGTGTCATGTTAAACTTGACCTTCATCTTTTCTGAACAAAATGCTTATGCATAATGTATTTCACAGAGAATGGACTCTTGCCAGGAAGCAAGTACTCATGTGGGAAAAGACAGCAGATCTTACCTGGGTAATCATTCTTGTCTATGTCTGCATCTCCTCTTAGAGAAAAGCCAAATCCAGAAGGGATGCTCTGTGACTCCCATATGCCCTGCAGAACTTGGGAAGGCTTGGTGTGCAAGCCTTTTGAGTTCCCATTGTAAATGAGCACTTTGCCTCTTTGATTCTTGCCTGCAAAGGGCACGCCGATGGCAATGTCTACAGAGAACAAAGGAAATTTTAGAAAAATAAATAAATACAACCCAAACCCAGCATCACAGGGCCCAAATGGCTTGTTACACTTTCTAGAGGTTTCTGGAGTATTGTAGCAACAAAGAAGTACCATTGCCTCTTAAGAGCATGGTGAATGTCTGCTGAGAGTACACTAGCTACAGCATGTAGCAAATGCAAAGCCAGTGTAACACTCAACAGCCCTGTGTTTGGAGAGTTTTGTTTTAGGGGGAAGGTAATGAACATTTTGAATAGAGACACAATTAAGGAAATACTGAAATCAATAAATGGTACAGAAAGTATTTTTTTAAATACTGATACAATGGAGAGAGATGGCATTGTTTTAGATGGTTGTGGTCAGACACAGTGTCACTGTGGCTAGCATACAAACTGAAATCTATGGTCAGGAAGGAACCAAGTATGTGATAATTCAGGAGAAGTAGCTACCTTCCAAAGACCCAGAGACAGAAAGAGGGTAGCCCATTTGAGTAGCAGAAAAAGGCAGAACACTATCTACATGGGACCTCAATGACTGAGAGATACAGCCAGGTCCTACCATATATCAGGAGGCTGGAAGACCAGGTAAGATATGGTTTTAGGAGTTTCTTCTTTCAAAAAATTAAAATCAAAAGCTCCAGTCCAATAGAATGTTCTATTTAATACTCCCCTAATCTAATGAACTAAAAGAGCTTATTTTATAATTAAGTGACTAGGAAACCCAGACAGAAGTCATATTACCTAACTCTCACCCAAATATAAAACATCTATCTTCTACCATATCAGGATGGCCCTGTATATCAACTAGAAACTGTTATAGTTTAAAAAGAAGTCTCCAAACAGCAACGAGTTTACCAAATGAGAGGGAGTCTCGTTTGTTGGTGAAATGTCTCACTGAGCCTAATGAGAAGGATTATAAATACACTTTAACTCACCTACCTAAGAGAAAGGATATAACAACTCAGATTGCTGTAAAAATAAAGATATTATCATGTGTTTGGTGGGAAAGAACACTTTCTGTACTCCCTCTAAGTCCATGTCTTTCCAGCTGACCCCAAGGCTAAGCACAGCTAGCCTGGCATTATTTTGCTTGTGTTGTACTCCAGAACACCAAGGCTCAGAGCCCAAGGTGTTCTTCTCTTAGCTTTTAAGACCATCAGAATTGGTTTAAGGGTAAAGACAGTAGAAAATAGGATGAAAAAGACAACTCACGTAATTCAGCATCATGCTTTCCCTGGGAGAGCCATTTTAGAAAGCACAAAGCCAAGGTACTTTGAGGAGAACTTGTCTAATTTATTCTGCCAGAACATAGCATCTAACATGCACTTGGTTTACTTCTCCTGTTCTAGGGCTTGAATCAAGATCCTTCCACAAGCTAGGCAAGTACTGCTGACCTGTATCTGTGACCTAAGCGTGTATGTATGAAGTACTCTAACAATTACTAGTTGCTGATAATTAGTTTCAAAGAAATTCTGAAACACTTGGTACTAGTGCCTGTGAATATCCCTCTGATGGGAATCCTCCCTATGTTAGTGAAGTCCAGAAAATTCCTCTTATAGCTTCCTTTTTGAATGATAAACACACTATACTTTGGTTCTTCACTTACATGTCCTGAAAATGTTTGCAAATTTTGATGTGAGCATGCAGTATTTTCTGAGATGATATTTAGAAAGCATCTATGGATTCCTTACTTAAAGAACCACATTCCCCAATTAAGGTTTTTAACACTATTACTTTGCAATGACATTTACTGACCAAGAATGAGCCAGTATAACAGGTATAACTCAGGTAGTTTTATCAGAATATAGTAATATACTTGCTAATATTTCAGCATGTATTTATCTCTATTCATGGCAAATTTCTATAGCTCTCAAGTCACCATTGAGAAATCACACATGACAAAATTTGTGCAATATCTGGGTTAATCAAAACATAAAACTTAAATTTGCCTTGAGATCTGTTTTTGGAATTTATTGAGTCAACAATAGTACCCAGCCCCCACCATTAAGAAACTTTTAAATAAATGGCTATGGTTTCCTTCTTGCCACAGTAACATGGCCTTAAGGTGTGAGAGAGGCCCACACTTCCTCTAGATTACCGTTGTATCCATCTTGATTCAGGTCCCCCAAGTGGGCCACAGAGCTACCGAATCTCCCAAAAGTCTCCTTGCCGGTGAGGACCTGTGGGTCTTGGAAGACGAGGGCGCTCACTTGTAGGTACAGGTAGACCTGCCCTACTTCTCTAGGGTTACTTTCAAATTCACGGTCCATAAAGAGAGGTGCCCCGATCAATATGTCATCCAGGCTGCAGGGAACAGAGAGAGGGGACAGTCAGCCACCTTGGCAGACAAGGTCTCTGGTATGTTTCCTTTTCTGGGGGCCATTTTACTATCATGAGATTTCATTCATAGCTTTGTTATGTCTACAAAGCAGAATGCTGAAGAAAATAAAGGTTGTTAAATTATCACATTGAACTTTCCAACTATATGAAAAATGACTAAGAAACTGCAAACATTTCATCCTTTCTGGCCTTTTAGTGCATTTCCAGAAACTTTAGTCGCACATGGAAAACATATCAAACAGAACTGAGCAGGTTTTTGTTTTTACCGACACAAGAGTTTGTCTGTAATTTATTGAGCCGACCCTGACTTCTTGAAGTAACAAGATTTCAAATAATTTTTGTCCTGTCCTTCCTTTGGTTAAATAAAAGAGGCCAGAGAAGTAGCTAGTGCTGGCTGGAACACAAATTTGTATTCCTGATGAGATATGCAGTCATTCTGTGTATGTCATAGCTAGAAACTAGTAGATTTTCTTAATGATTTAAAGATGATCTATAACTACAAAAGTGGCTGGAGGTTACTTCTCACAGACGTAAACATCACAGAAGGGACGGACCAGGGAATTTTCTATTTTGTCAGGAGATCTCTAAAGTATTTGATTTTTATTTTCAAAAAATGTAAGAAAATTCCTACTAATCAAAATGCATACTTAGACCTCTACTAATGACTGTTGCTAAGGTAGGTCTGAATACAAGCCTATCTTGGCAGGTGCAATAGTATGAAAACACAAATTTACCTTTGACTCTGTGTCTAAGCAGATCAACACTGAAGTTTGCCAAATTACTTAATTACCTCAATACTTTCATTCACATAATTTTGTTATATATTGTTATATTAATTAATACAGTAATTATATGATAATGCTTTGACAAGTTAGTATAAATATATAAGAGTGATATTAATATATAACATTTATAATATAATATTTAAAATAAGGAATAGAGTAGGAAGTTATTGAAAGCCAGATACTTTATTCTTTCGCTCCTCTTTTCCCTTTTTACTGTTCCCTCCTCTTTTTCTCCCTTCTCCTCTCTTCCCTCTTTTTCTTTCTTCCTTTACCTCTCCCTTTCTCTCTCCTTCCATTCTTCCCTCCTTCGCTCCCCCTATCTTTTCTTTTTTGACAGGATTTTCTGTGTAGCCCAGGTTGACCTTGAACTCATGATCTTCCATTCTCAGCCTCCCAAATGCTGGAGTTATGAGATCAACAATTAACAAATGGGACCTTCTGAAACTAAAAAGCTTTTGTAAGGCAAAGGACACAATCAAAAAGACAAAAAGGCAGGCCACAGAATGGGAAAAGATATTCACTAACCCTACATCTGACAGAGGGCTAATCTCCAAAATTTACAAAGAACTCAAGAAACAAGTCTCCAAAACACCAAAGGATCCACTTGAAAGGTGGGGTACAGAGCTAAATAGAGAATTCTCAGTAGAGGAGGCTAAAATGGCCAAGAGACACTTAAGAAAGTGCTCAACATCCTTAGCCATCAGGGAAATGCAAATCAAAACAACTCTGAGATACCATCTTACTCCTGTCAGAATGGCTAGAATCAAAAACACCGAAGACAATTTATGCTGGAGAGGATGTGGAGAGAGAGGATCACTCCTCCATTGCTGGTGGGAATGCCGACTCATACAGCCTCTTTGGAAATCAGTATGGAGATTCCTCAGGAAAATGGGAATTAATCTACCACTAGACCCAGCAATTCCACTCTTAGGCATTTATCCAAATGAGGCAGGTTCATACAACAAGGGCATCTGCTCCACTATGTTCATAGCAGCATTGTTTGTAATAGCCAGAACCTGGAAGCAACCTAGATGCCCCTCAACTGAAGAGTGGATAGAGAAAATGTGGTACATTTACACAATGGAGTATTACTCAGCAGAAAAAAACAATGGAATCTTGAAATTCGCAGGGAAATGGATAGCACTGGAAGAAACCATCCTGAGTGAGGTAACCCAGTCGCAAAAAGACAAACATGGTATGTACTCACTCATATATGGATTTTAAATATGGATCAGGATAGTGCCAGTCTGCACTTCCACAGATAGAGAGTCTGGGAAACAGGAAAGAACCTAAAAGATATGCATATATGCATAGTACCCAAGAGAAGAGGATGGAGACAAGATCCTCTGAATGGATGGGGAACAGGGCGAGGGGGGGTAGTGGGACCTGGGAAGAGTAGAGGGGTAAAGAGGAAGGGAGTTGGTCATGGGGGAACAGGAAGTTGAGGGGGTGGGGGTAAAATAGGGGGAAGAGGGAATCATAGGATCGAAGACAGATCAGGCACCAGAGTGACCTCGAGTGATCTAAAGGTATAACATCAATTGGCAAGCTAAGCAATAGTGGAAGGACCACCTCGAATGCCCATTCCTGATAATGAACTTGATGTCTATAACTATCCGGGAGCCTTCATCCTGGGACGGATGGAAGCAGAGGCAAACACACAACTAAGCACTGAACTGAACCCAAGGAACCCAGTGACAGAGAGAGAGGAGTGATGAGCAAATTGGCAAGGAATGGGCTGGCAAAACCAGCAGAGACGGCTGATCTGAACAGGGGAGTGCTCTTGGACCCCAGACCGATAGTGGGGAGGCCAGAATGGGACTGATCTGGACCCCCCAAATGTGAGTGTCAGTGAGAAGGCCTGGGCAACCTATGGGGCTCTGAGCTGTGGATCAGTGTCTATCCCTGGTATACAATCTGTCTTCATGTGCCTATGGCACAAAGAGAGATGCTCTCTCAGCCTGGACTCTTAGGGGAGTGCCTTGACCCTACCAAGAGTGAAATGATAGACTCTAGACATCCCCTATGTGGAGGGATTTGGCAATAGGGTGGGAGGGAGGGTGGAAGGGGAGTGCGGGAGGAGGGGAGGGAGAGGGAACTGGGATTGACATGCGAAACAAGCTATTTAAAATTAAAATAAAAAATGATTAAAAAAAAAAAAGAATTCTGTGTACTTTCTTTGAGACAGGGTCTTCCTAATTCTGACCTCCAAATAGGCAAGAGTAACTGGACAACGAGCCCAGGGAGTCTCCTGACTCTATACTTTCTATCACTGAGATTCCAGGAACTGAACTGTGTGTCATATGTTTTATGTGTATTGTGGGGATCAAACACAGAGAAGGGTAAGCTTCACACCAACTAAGCCACCTCCCCAGTCCAAGGTAGCTTTATTTACAAAACGTGCCTTTTTTTCTGGAGAGAAAAGAAGAAGTAGATTCGAGGAAGAGAGGAGGTGTGGGGAGCATTGGAAGGAAAATAGGGAGGGGAAACTGTGATCAAGATATAGAAAAAACAATAAAAACCAGTTCTGATATGTGTATAGAAAACAACCTCCTGAGGTTTTCTAAGGCTCCTTCCTCATTCTGATTTTTTGGGGTCATTGTCACGGTCTCTGTGGCGTTGCAGGAATATTTCTTCATCCTGGTACCCACCACACAAACTCCACAATCTCTGGGTTTCTTTTATTTTTAAATATTTTTGATGTTATAATTACACCATTTTCCCTTGCCATAATCAACACCTTCCTTTATAATCTCCATTCCCCTTTCAAATTCATAGCCCTGTTTCCTTTAGTTGTTCACACACACACACACACACACACTCACATGCAAAGAAAGGAAAAAGGCTACTTTTAATAAGTGGAGACATACAATCCATAAAACAATATATCTAAAATAGATAAGACATGCTTGAAAAGCTGACTTAATTTTATGCATCATTGTTGATGTGATCTCATACAATTTTTATACCTATAACTCATCATTGGCCATGAAAATTTGTTGAGTACGAGTTTAAACTAGGTAAAAATGTTTTGGTTGTTTGATTGTATGGCTCAGAGTTGACCCTAGGGCCTTGAGTATGATAGACAAGTAATCTACCTCTGTGCTTCACCACAGAGCCAAATTCTCGAAACTACAAAGACACGTTACCTCGTTTTTCTCCCTGACATGTTGATGTTACTTTAAAGGCATTATTACAGAATCAATTACAGGCCAGAATAATTTATCTTCTTTATTCTCAGATTGAATTGGCCTTTAAAATGATAATTGGTAAGCTAAATAGAATTCCATGAGCTTGCCCTCTGCGCAGCTGTCTGCCAATGTCTGTGTGCTGTTGAAGTTATGATCTTGGAGTGTCTAGAGCATGTATTCTGCCAGTGGTTGTCAAAATGTGGTGAACATCTTCACACAGAGACTTTAAGGGAAATAAATCATTTTTTAAAAAACAATTGTCATAAAAAAAAAATTAAAAAAAAAAAAAAAAAAAGATGTGTGCTACCATGTCCAGCTTTAGCATCAAAATCTTTCCAGCAGCTCGAAGTAGTATGAATGTCACACTATACTGACTTCATTGTCCTGACCTCTCCCTGATTTCAGAGCTTACCCATAGTAAAAGTCCACTATCTCTCAGGGTTCTTTTCCTTCTGTTGGTTTGTCTTGTCCAGTTTTGATGTGATAGTTTTTGTTTTATCTTATTATATCTTAAAATGAATGAATGAATGAAAACCTAGCTACTAGGGTAAAGGCTAACAACTAAATTACACCTGCTGAAAGAGGGAGAATCAGTTTTCTTTAATAGAGTGACACTGGGTATGCCAAGCACTGTAAGACAGACCTCATGTAGTTGACAACATATAATGAAGTCCACGTTATTTGTGTGCTTTTATTTGGTTATATTTTGGTGGATTTTTGTTTGTTTTGCTTTGTTTCCATTTTGGATGTCGTTTTATTTTGTTTTCTTGGGTTTTGGAGAGTTTTGATGTATTGGGTTTTTTTTTAGAAAGAATATAAAGTAGGTTAGGTAGAGAGGGGCAGAGGATCTGGAAGGACATGGGGAGGAGAAATAACATGATCAAAATATATTTAAAGTTAAAAATTGTTTTAAATAATACAAACATAATAAAACAAAGAAAAGGTATGTCATGTATACCTGTTAGGTTAATAATTTGACTGCAGTTAA